ACCTGTAAATATCTCAAACAAATATCTCGTGTACGGGTAAAACATATAAATATTCGATGCAACAGGGCACAGGTACGTGTGATGGACTAATAAGTGTATTCAAACGAAAACAGTATGGGGCGCACGACTATATAAGAGACGAGAGCAGCCAGTGCGCGCACCTTGCGTTTACCAAACGAACGCATCGGTGTCTATAAATACACGGAAAAGGGAAATAAACTCGGTGATTTTCCCGAGTGAAGTGGTGTACTCTATCCCTTTCTTTCCCCCCTAGATGCACCGACTGCCGTGCGCTAGAAACGTCGGACGCGATGACGAGGCTGGAATGATCACCAACACCTTCACGGTCGTCGTGTACGCGAAATCGACGATAGTCTTGCGTGTATTGTTGTATGCGAGCGCGTCCTCGAGCGGAGCGGGTGATTGAAACGTCGCAGTCCACGGGAAAAGCGAAACGATTAGGAGCAAAAAAATGTGTCTATGGGATTTTTCTTTCGAGCCGTCACTCTCCAACAGGTGCGTCTGAATCAAACTCACGGTGTTTGAGGTATTTATTGCCCATGTCGATGGACCGGGTTGCAATGACGATCTAACAGAAAATATCACGAGAGATTTTTTCGCAAATTGTTTGTCATCGATTAGCTGGTAAGACACCCCACTCCGCGAGAGAAATGAGCTCCGGGTTTCGCGCTCTTGTGCCCATGATACACGTCGCGGGAGAAAACAAAAGTTAAGCTCGTGAAAACGCGTGACGGCTCCAACAAGTTTCGTCCTGACTTTGCGAGTAACAAGCCTCCCTTGAGCAGATATTAAAATTAATGCGCGAGAATGGTACGTATACGCGATACCGAAATTTTCTTCACCGCTACTCGGGTTGGGGCGCGTTACTTTGACACGCGTGTGGTAATGATAAGGATAGCGCCCGCGGAAAAAAACCGAGAATCTTTTTTTTAATTTGTCGTACAATATGTCATTACTGGGTACCTTTTCACCCGAGTAGTGAAATATTAATGTGCCATTTGTAACATTGTCGCTGGTAATTCGCAACAAAATTGATATCCGACAAATGCACTGTTACACCAACCGGGAGTACATGATAATGAGAACAGAGTGTACGGCCATTTGTTGAAAAATTTATGACGTTTCTCGTATGTACGGAATACGTTTTGTTTTTTTCCATTTCGCTGCAAACCGAAAAACGAAATGTGACGGTAACACACGAGCACCTTTCGCGGGACGCTAATATGTCACCCCCTTGCGCGACTACCCTCAATAAATTAATACAGTGCTCCGGCAGGGCATTTCGAAAAAGCAGTAATTTTTCACTTGGAAGACACCAACTCTCGTCGCAAACCACACATACAATCGATAAAAAAATCCACGCGAAGAGTGCATTATCGAACTTATTACGTACAATCAAATTAGGCTTGTGCTAATAACACGGCGAAATAATTAAAGCCAACACCATCATTGACGCTTCAATTATTTCGTCGTGCCATGCGCTACGGTACCATACAGCTACCCTGGGAAAACTCGAAAACACGACACACACTAGTGCGCAGATACCAACTATATATACATACGATATATACACTGGTGATGGCAAAAAAAAACATTAATAAACGTGTTGTCGTTGTATTTATACGATCACTAAGCAACACAAAATTGATGTCGGGATGGCTAACAGCTATGGTCAAGTTGGAATATCAACGAGAGGAGAGTGTGTGCGTCGTGTGTGAAGGTTTGTGCTTGGGTTGGTTAATTGTTTTCCTTCCCCCCCCCCCTACCCCTACGACCCTTGTATTTACACACGCAATGACTTTTGTCAGGATTGTGTGTATGGTGCACGCAGAAAACGGCGTTTGCACTGGTGACACGTGGGCAAGGGTATGATTTTTGAAGGGTACAGGAAGGATGGGAATGTAAAATTAAACAAGTGAGAGCCAAGAGTCGGATGGGATCGTCAAGGGGTCATGTGGAAAATAGAATTCGTAAGGACGTGCAGGATAACTTTTTTTTTCAAGTTTGATGACACGCGTCATGGGTGGGAGATGTCGCTTTTAGTTTTTGAGGTAATACAAGTCTGAAGCACCACCCTTAACTATCATTAATAAATAATTTTATGGTATATTCAACGTTAATGCCTGGACCGTGGATGACGAACAAAACAGTCGGAGTAGTTAAAAGTTGAATGCTTTGGCAACCAAAGTGCACGTTATAATAGGTGCATATACCCCTGACAACGCGAAGGTGTGTACGAGAGAATCATAGTTGTCGCGTGTTTGTGTATACAAGAGCCATTTGCTGTGTCGTTAGTTTCATATTGATGTACATACCGCGTATTGGTTATTATCACGCGGCTCTGCCGGCTTTTGTTCCTTACTAATGACGCTTGACGTTAGTTCCCATTGGTAAAGGTACGGGCAAACTGGGCGCGCGTATGAACGTACATATCACTGATTTGTAGCGAAATCAAATTGCTCAAGCCGCATGAAAGCCAAACGGAGTCATTCAATCGCGGGTTATGGAACGTTACCAAATATGGATTTTTTTTTTTTTTGTTTTTTTTTTTCGTTGTGAAATAATGTAATACATGCGTGAAAAAAATACAACTAGTCATGAAGCGGTTGGGTGAGCTAAATCCTTACATTGTTGTTTGTCATTACAATTACTGTTGCAACGTGTATTTTAATACCATACCATTAGAAATTTATTTCGTTGCAACGGTACATTCGAGAAAATTGTTAGTGTAATTATTTCAAGAATATTTGTGGTCGTTTGGGTTGGGTAAAGCCGTATAATTTTGCGGGAAAACGTGAAAATTTAATATCGAATGAAAAATTGCCGGGAACACGGGAACCGCGAATTTAATAAACGTAATTTGAAAAGGCGCGATGATTAACAGAGTTTTTCGCAAAACGAGCGAATTTTGAGACCGTATGAAAAAGTAATTCGGCATAATTAACGGAGCAGTCTGTTCGTTTATTCAGTAGGTACTGAAAATGGAAAAAAAGGACCCCTTGTGTTTGCACTCGTGAATTTTTACTTGATTAAATTTCGAAAAATTACATCCGTTGGAAGGGGCAAGGGGGCATTCTCTGCCAACTGAATCTGACACGTGTAACGTCACTGTCAGCTGATGCACACCAGAGTTTTTCCATCAAACGAGTGGTATAACTACACGGTCCGATTCCAATTCCGTGTGGCTCGTTGTTGGTGTCTTCCGGGCGACCACACGCCGTCGTCTCCACGGGGGGGACGAATTTTCTCTTCCGACAGTTCCAAGGATTTTCTGCTGGCCAGTAATTAACGGGAAACGGTCTTTTCTCTCGGGTCGTTTCTTCATTGTGTACACCATTCCATTACTTCTACTCTGACTTTTCTTTTTTTTTTTTCTTTTTTTTTTTTTTTTTCTTTTTCTTTTTCNTTTTTTTTTTTTTTTTTTTTTTTTTTTTTTTTTTACACGTTTGATCGACTGTCTTTTTTTCGTTTTAGCTCGTCAGGTCTCCGTTTTTTTCTTCATTTTTTTGTGTAACGCAAGGCCTGATTGATTGCTCGAGAAAAATCAAGGAAACGGAGCGAGCTCTCTTTCTCCCCGGTCTGCTTTCTCGGGCGTGTGTTTTAAAGGGAGGATTTAATTCGGCGATTTATTGCCAGCCACCGGAAGCCCGAGCTGCTGCTGGTATTGTGAAAAATTGCTTCGTAACGAGATGTGAAACCGCCGCTTGGGCGGGGGTAATAACTTTATTATTATGACTGCGCGCGTACTTGTGTGCGTGTGCTGAATTTTTCGTCTCCATTGGTTTTTCATGGATTCATTTCAACTTTTTTTTTCAAAGTCAATTTTGGCTGGTACGTGTGCAGTGATGAAATATTTGATTTTGCTACAAACAGTACGTTTTTCATCAACATTTTAGCATGGAATACTTCTCGAAAATTTTGCGGCCTTTTTTTTGGAAAATTTTCATTTTACTGTTACAAATTTAATAAAGTGCTTGACGGAATTTTTTGTAGAGAATAGCGACTGTTTTTTTTTTCTAAATCCCAGCATAAATGACGAATTGTGTTATTAGAAGAACTTCATTTTGATAAGTATTAAAAAAAAAATACAAAATTTATGGTTTATAATTTGTTTGTTCGATGATAAGGATTTTATGTAATTGACCAAATTTAATATCTAAGTTATCAACGTCATCTTTTGAGCTCAAAGTGCTGTACCTACTACAACATTAAAGAAATTCGTGCGGGTGTTGGTACAGAGGAGAAAAAGGAACAAAAGTTAGAAAAAAAAAAATTATTTTTCTCTAATTAAAAGGTAAGAAGAAAGAGTCGTTTTGTGTTTTGAAGTGTTTGGGTGTATCTTGTGGGGATTGATTGCTACAAGACTTTCTGACGGTCTTTTTCATAAAGGTATCCCCAGCATTATCTGCTCATCGCACCACACGATACGTATCATGTGTAGGTAAGGAAAGTCGACTATCAGCTATATGAGAATAAGATATACAATACTTCTCTATTACCTTAGTTGTTTGAAAATTTTTGGAACCATAAATTTACATAACTAAAAATATCGAAATAATTATAGGGGCTTTGTGTATTTTCTTTTTTTTTTTTTTGTTTATAACCACAAAGGAATCAATTAAAATATTTGCTATTCCATTCAACTATGCAATATAATAACAACTATATTGTAGAAAAAAATTGACATCCTTAGGGGATTTCAATTATTTTCAGCACTAACTAAGTTGCGTAAACAAACTATAACTATTTAGGTAACAAACAAATGACTCTCTTCACATGGAAAAAGTGCACTGTTTGTAAAATAGGGAAACATCATAAACACTGTCAATTAAATTGTTACTAAATTTTTTTTTACATCAATAATCGGGACAATGGAAAAAATATATATATTATGATAGTATCAATAGTTATAGTAATAATAGTAATAATAATAATGTTGATTTGAGAGGAATAACTGCGTAAGACCTAAATAATAGTACCATTTTGACTTCTGATAGCGAGCTGATACTCAAGACGTACATGGTGACGCCCACCTCGACGGGAGGACCTGAAATTTGAGGTTTTAAGTTCACTGAGTCAACCATTCCGGTCGATTTTTACTTTTCTATTTTTCTTTCATTTTTTTATTTATTTACTTTTTTTTCATATAGAAATTGTTTACTCTTTTTTTTTATTCGTGTACGACAGTGTGATTCATGTGATGAAGTTGGCGATAGGTTCGTCTTTCAATGGGTGTGCGAGTCATGTGGTCAAAAGAAATGATTCGGTGTTGTCTCGATGCGTCTTTCCGCCGCAAAGCCATGCCAACTAATTCGAAAGACAACAATCTTTCCTGCACTCGCAAGTACTCACTCAAGCTGGACAAAAGCCAACCCTCCAACATTTTTTCCGTGGATAAACATTTTCCTACCTCCTCTTTTTCCTTCCAAATTTCTTTTTCCTCGAAATACAGCCTAGTTTCCCCGTAGAAACGCACAAACGGTTGGAAATTCCGGGCAGCAAAAGTATCCGACGTGTACGCCGGAAAGAGGATGGGTCGAGAAACCGCATTTAGAGTGGCTTATCGAGCCATACCCGCAGGCTACGAACGCCTTTGGATTTCCCATTGTCCGAGGAGGCGAGAGGATCGCAATTTTCGGTGACGCTTCTCTGCACCGTTTCCAACTACTCAGTCGTGGGCAACGTTCGTTTAAACAATCATCTTGATAACCGTTTGTTTTCGGCGAAGGAAAGCATCAACCGAGAGTTGTTGGTGCGAGGGGGTGGGAAAAATGTGGCCCAGTGGAGTAGAGCAGTGGAGGGTCCAGCTGTGTATGGATGCGTATTAAAACGGGGATGGTGGGAGGGGGAAGAGCTCGAGGCTGCTGCTACAACAAACTTGAGCCATAAACAACGAGATTCCTCGACCTCCCTCCAGCGACACTCCCCCCCCTTCTGCATACACGTATCTCCTCTTACGATCTATCGCTATTTCTTGTTTCTCGAAAAGCCTCCGTATCCCCTACGTATACACACCCGGGGCGCGAGGGACTGATCGTATATCGTGGTGAGCCATTTCCTCGCTGTGCGGCCGTGTACATTTTCCGGGAAAAAGATCTGCAGCGCGCGTGTACGTACGTATCGCAGGGCGCGAGTTTATTAATCTTTATGTATACGTGGTAGCAGCGACGCTCGGAAAGATTCGCGTGCTGTTCTTTTTTACGAGGAGGAGGAGGTGGCTCGTAAAACAACGTGCGACGGGCTTTTGCGCTCTCATTTTTTATCTCGGGCGATGATGACGGGTGACGCGTTGCTAGCTCTTGGTTTTTTTTTTTTTTTTTTTTTTTTTGAGCGATACGTGATTTGATAGGGATTTATGGGCAGATGACCCTTTGCGATGTGCCGTTAGTTAAGCAGGTGGAATATTTTTGTTTTGTTCAGTCGAGTGTTGAATTGATTTTGTTTTATTTTTTGCATACAACTTTCAGAAGCACCAATGCCTTGAAGTAACCAATTTTTTTCTTGTACTGTGGTCTCATTGCCTGCATCGATGTACGAGAACAAGTTCGAGATTGACCATCGCACGTGTACTAAAGTTTGACTAAAATTTAACAAATATTTCTCCGATATATGCTCACGTGCAGGTTGGATGACAGTAAATCTCAAACTCGATCCAGTATGGAAGCGCATAATTAGACCCTCGTTGTGGTAAATCGCGGACTGTGTCAATGAATTTAAGTGGTGTAGATCGCGATTTTGTCAGGCATCTGTGATTCAATCCTGTTATAAGTAGTTTTTCATCATTAAAAGTTTACTTTTTCAACTTTCTCATGGATACGACGCTTAGTGAGAGTTAAAAGTATTGAATAGTATGAACTGTAGGAATAAATTAAAATTTATTTTATTAAACGTTACGTCCATCGAGGGGAATTTTTTTTTTCTAAGTACGATTTTCTTATTTTGTTTTTTTATAGAACCAGGCGAAAGTAGCGTAAAACATATTTTACTCATATCAAGTAGAGTAGGTCGTGATTTGGTCAGACATCACTGATTCCGTCGCTTAGTAAGGGTATAAAGTGTTTTATTAACCATTGAATGATATTTTAAATTAAGAAAAACTCGAAATTAAATGAACTAAACGTTACGCGTCCATCGAAAGAATTGATTTTTTTAAATATCTTTCGTACAGTACCGTGCGAAATGAGCATGAACCTAGTTTCACTCATATCAAGTAGAGTAAGTCGCGATTTGGTCAGACGTCGCTGGTTTCATTGAATAATACTGAGTTGTTGATTATATTATTTTCATTTTATAATTATCTTTGAGATGCTACGCTACGTGATGATCAAAACTATTTCATATAATTATCTTTGAGATGCTACGCTACGTGATGATCAAAACTATTTCATTAAGATTCGTAGTATCAAAAATAAGTTAAAATTAAAATTTGGCAGATTAAACGTTAAAGCAATAAAAAATTTCCAACGAACATTGGCAAAAGTTTTTTAAGAAATAAATGTTTATTTATTTATTTTTTTTTTGTTAAAATTCTGTTGACTATTTGAATTTTGTACAGCATTTCTCGGTACCGTTTTAAATTTTAAAAGGTTTAAAGCGTCGTTTGATTGAATATTTTTCAAATTAAATTTGTTTGAAAGGATATGTTTAATTAAATATTGGTTGTATTTCAGTTACTAAAAAAAAAAAAAAATTGAACAAATATTTTTTCGGTTGTTTGAATTTTCGCGACTAAACCACCTTATGAAATATTAATGTCACAGCAGCGTTAACAAGTTCTCAGCCATCATACATTCCCGGCGTGATTCATCGCATACAAGCAGCCCGAATCACAAAAAAGTCATAGCGTAAAATGTCCCACGTAGTCAAACGCCACGTGCCCTCCTCCTCCTCCGCCTCCGTCCAAAGAAACAACACCCAACTTTCACGCTCACACTTACGCGCGCGCGCGCGCGCAAACAATCCCCGAATTTTCCCAGGCAGGCCTGTCCTCTCTCTCTCTCTCTCTCTCTCTCTCTCTCTCGCACTCCGCCAAAAATTTTCTTTGTCGGCTAGGAGATCCCCTCCCGGGCTCCGCTCCCGGATATCGTGGTAGGCCTGCCTTTCCGAAGGGAACTTTCTCTATCGATCGACCTAAGGGCTGTAACTACACTACTGCTCTACTGCGTGGGCAGATACTGTATATATACGATGGGAGGTCCTGGCTCCGATCGAGCGGCTTTTACACACTGCACGAGCGAGAACTTGGACCGAATCCATCTATACTTGGTGACTCTCTCTCTCTCTCTTTCTCTCTTGCACTAAGAGGAGCGTCTTGGTAACTAAGATTGTTTTATTCCTCACTCGTATAAATTGTACTCGTTTGACAAACTCAATTTATCCTGTGAGAAATTCAAGGAACGTAGACACTCGAAGACGAGCAAAGACAGAGAGCCACCACGTAAGTGCGCAAAAAGACATACACGCGTCTAGCCTCGACTGCAATACATGCACCCATATATGCAGAGCCGCGTGCTTCGAATGCCAGCGTTATTACTATCCGGGATTTCCGTGCTACGCGGCCTCGTATGCGATCTCATATCCGGATACGCAAAGATTTACACGCTACGATATGCGTGGTCCAAAGTGCCGCACCGGTTATTGCCTCGCATCTAATGGGTCAACGAGTCTTTTTCACGCGCCAAATGAAGCGAAGAAGTTGCGCCCCGAGTGAAGAAGTGCTCCCGTCCATCGGCTCACGCACATAAGTCTCTCAAGCCGTACTCGCAGATCCCCACATTTTTCAATATCTTTTCATTAGGAAAGAGTCAAAGCCCCCCTCTTGCCATCAGCATCCACCACACGCGAGCAAACGCCGGCCGGGGGGTGAGAGAGAGAGAGAGGGGGGGGGGCAGAGACCGGGGATGCCGTTAACGGTAACCCATGGCAACGGGGCGTCCCAGCATCGATCCGGCGCTTTTCGCCCGGCCCCGCCCTGCTTGATACTGCTACCGCCGCGCCAGTAGTGGTGGCTGCGCCAGAGTCACTGTCTCAGCTGGTCCCTGAGCGAGGAAGGGAACGCGGCAGGGGGGGATTTGGGCTTCCGCTCTTTATGTACGCGCGCATGGGAACTCCCGGCTGACTAGAGGCTGACTCTTACTACTGACGCGTATGCCGTACTTTATCGGGTCCGGGCGAGGGCAGGGGGGGATCGGAGCTGTAACTGGATTTATTTTTCGGGTGAATGGCTGCTTCGTGCGTTTGAGCGGTGTACCCCGAGTACTTTTGAAAAATTAGGACGCTAAAGTGTCGGAGCGGCCGCACTTAAAAACCCATAGGGCGAGTCATTAATCCCGACGCAGCAGCCAGCTTGGAAATCCGAGTCACGATTCCAGCGAAGACCCATAAATTTTCCTTCCACTGCGCGTCGTATCTTGCACGCACAGGCAGACAGAGTGGTGCCTAATTCGCGCTCTGCAGGCAACAAAAGCCAACCACCCGATTTCAATGACAATCGGAGGGAGGCCCACGGAAGTTCCTCGTGGAGCCTTTGATTAATAGTGTTGCTCGTCAACGTGCTCATTGGCATGGCTTTGCGACAATGCAGCTTTTGACGTTGCTGTGCGAGTATGCATGTATACGTGAGTGTGTTGTATCCTGTCACGAGTTTGAAAGTACAGCCAAAGCCGTACACTGTCGATGTAGACGATTATGATGATGATGATGATGTGCGTGTGGATTATCGCTTTGCTCTCCCTCTTTCGTGCCTGTTTTTCGCGTAGGGTTTGTTTTTTAGGTTTCCCAATGGAAATGTCGAGCAAAAATGCAGCGTAGAATTTTCGTTCGGGCAGCTTTACAACGTATACACAAAACTACGAAAGAGGTGAAAGCGCAGCTTTTAACTTGTACTTTTAAAATGCACTACTCTATTTATCGTATGTTTCGTCGAAAATCTCAGTTGAAATGAAAAATTGGAGGGGAGAAGAAAAACAAAAAAAACGATAGAATAAATATCTACGTGAGTATAATAAATGAAAATAATATAGTTATGAGAATCGTAATCTGGTTACCTGCATATTGAAAGGCTAAGAGTGAGAAAGACACGCATTTTTTGGTCTAAAAACATTCAGCATTAAAAATGTTTTTCTTTTTCCTCGCTTCTCTATTTGTTTTCAGATCAATATACATTTTGTGTTTCTTTTTCCTTTTCGTGCGTTATTCGTACAATTATTCACAGAGGCGAAGTGATGAAGCTACACATATCAAGTGGATGAGCTTTGAAATCAACTGTGTTGTTTACACGTGTTTGAAAGAAAAAAAATATATATATGTATGTATATCTTTCCATTTTATCGAGTATGGCGGGGCCTGGCGCCAATACTTGGAACCGTAAATATCACCGTTTCAAGGAGCGATCGACGCTCTCCGCAATTTTGACAACACAAAATTTAGGCAGACTAGCTCAGTCCCCTTCCGAAAATCATTCCACTGCCCCGTGTGTGCACGCGTCCATTAACATACATATGCCCCATGCAAATGCGACCTCATATACATATACCTTATGTATATTCATACAGGTAGCAAAGTGCGTTCGCAATTATCATCCGGACGCATAATTCCCGTAATGCAAACGAACAGACCGTGCAGCGCGAAAAAGGCGAGAAATATAACGCGCCCACCATCGAGTTGATGATGATGATGATTGTGTGCTCTTGATGGTTCGGCGCGAGCGAGCACTCAAGTTACGATTCTTCGCGGACAGTGGAAGCTAGTTTTTAATGGAATAATTAAGCTCACTTTTCCGGCGCGACGAGCCGTCGAGGAGTGAAATTTCAACTGCACTTGATACCCTTTCACGGGCCATTTGATTCGATTGATGAAGGCAACCGAGTATTTTTTTTTTTTGAATCCGCACATCTGCAGGTGGATGGATTTTCGGACGCTACCAAACCAATTGGCAGCCCAAGGGTCGTCTCGTTTTGTCCAATTAATAAAAGGCCAGATTGTCGTCCTGTTTGCTCAGGGCAATAACGCCGTGCGTGCTTCTATTTCGTTCACAATACCCCACCAACGTCGCATTTGTTGTTGTTGTTGTTCGTGCTTGTGTTGTGTATATACATACAAATGCATATGTATATTTATATTCAAGAAAAAAAAAAAAGAAATAAAAATGGCGTTCGTTGATTATTACTTTGAGTGTGTTTGTTTGTGCGGTAAATACATAGGCTCTCGCGAAAACGTGAGTGAAAGAAAAAACACATAGTACCGGGATGACACGAGCGCGTGATCGACCGAGAGTTATTTTTTTTCTATTTTTTTTTTTTTTTCATGGCTCTAGGATCAAGGACGAGCTTCATGGTACTCACCTCCGTAGTTCGGCCTTACTCTTTTATCATAGCTAACCGAAAAGGAGTCCAGGATCGCCGAAATGTTCACGTCGCCGAACATACTGCCACCCTTGTCCCTGAAACAGAGAGAAGAAACATTTTTGATAAAAAGTCACTCACGCACACAACCAAAAATACTTATTTCTTAAACAACCACCTCCCCGTGATAACACACAAGTGGCATGCGCGCATTTTCCCTCGCCTCTGATGCGCTTCGGCCCCGCGCGGCTCCACTTTCCGTAACTCAGGCGCAGAGATGCGCGTATCGTAAATAACCGCTAAGTTAATTAAGTCGCTGTACGCTGCGTTAAAAAGCAGGAGCAAGCGAGGGAAGGAAGCAGCGTCGAAAGCTTCGGCGTAACTTGGGAGCAAAATAAGGACGTGGACGAAGTAGGGAACGAGGGTGCTGGTTTTGCGTAAAACTCCCGGGGAGGGTTTAATAGCTTTAGTTGGTCGGCGAAGCGGAAGTGCGGGCGATAATTGCTCGCAAAAGTGCACTACTCGTTTGCAACCGAATCCCACTCCTGATCGTTGGAAAATACGGCGATTCGATGATTCGATGAATATACACGCCTGTGTGGCTGCCGCTCGTTTGTAAATTGCTCGATACGAGTACGGGGGAGAAAATCAGCGAGTGCGCGGTGATATTTCAAGTTGCCGTCGGGACGGGCAAAAAGTGTATTAGTCGATTAATGCGTCGCGCAACTCGATCGCGCCGCTCCGGCGGGTTTTTAAAAGCCGCGCTATCTGGGTTGAGGGATGGAGGAGCTTCTTGGGGAGTTGAGAGGGGGTGGGGGAGCATCCTCAGCCGAGCTCTTTGGCGAGTGATTAATTTAGGGTTTTATGGCAGAGGGAGGGGAGTTTTTAGAGCTTGCGCTCGAAGCTCTTGGAAGTCACGGGCTTGGATTATGCACGCGTATACGTTCGTTGATTTACTTTTCACTCTTCGAACCGACGTCGACATCGACTTCGGTTTAGCTTTTTATCGCAGCGTTTTTCTATCCGTTTTAGGAGACTCTTCACCTGTACAGCACGTATACGTGCCATTGGGCTATTTATGATCTACTACGTGTTTAGCACTCGTGGAATAGTAGTCGGTGAATTGATTTCACAAATCATCCGGAGTTTTCTAAGGGGTGTATCGAAAATGGCGAAAGAGACTAATACAACACTTGCAGTTATTACACCATCGGTTGGTGAATGAATTCAACTTGGCCCAAGGGGGATCCAAAATTCTCTTCCTCCTACCGAACGATACAAATTTACAGAGTCCCCAAAACCGCGTAAAGTCGAATGGCTCGGCATTGTCAGAGCGAAGTTGCCAGTCACGAGCACGAGCTGAAAAGCTCTTGAGCACACACGCGGACCACATAATATTATATACCAGATCGCGCGCAGAGCTTTGCCTCGCACGGTAGCTCTATATTATGCAAATTTTGGACGAGTGTGTTTGCCAAGGTTCCAGTCTCCTTCATCAAATTTGCTGTATTATGCGGCCACGGGAGAGATAAGCGCGTAGCGAACCAAAAACGTGAGCCCGCGCCCGAGCTTCGGATGAGGCCTTTTTCCTCCGTGTCCTGATATAATTCGGTTGATATACTCGGGGGCTGGTCTAAGCTCCCTTTTTTGGTGCACCTACTCGGGGGATGATATTTTCACGCGTGTTTAGGATGGATGTGGAGTAACAGGCCCCCGTATCCGGCTAAAGTGGAGGCGCAAACTCGCGCGCGTCATTCGAAACTTCAACCAGAGTCGTAAAACTAGAGCCACTCCCGTGAGCTTATTTACAGCGTAGAAAGGAACCCCGCCACATCACTGTGTGTATACACGTGCACGTGTATTCTAATTCCACCGCGCATTACGCAATGATTAGAAAAGTTTTTACAGCCCAGTATCTAGCAGCACCGGGTGAACGTGGCTGGAAATTTTCTCACCGACAGATCACCACGGGCCTTCCCACCCGAGTTTACAGCCGAAAATGAGGAAGGCGGATCCTCCCGGTGTCCTGGGTGTAGTAGGGAGCTGGGAACTTTTGATGATGATGATGACGCCCAGACTTTCGGGGAAGTTTCGCGTTTTTACGACTGCGACGGCAGGGAAAAAATGGTACTTTTTTTTTTTTTTTTTTTTTTTCCTCCTTTTCCGGTTGAGCGAGGTTTTTAACTAGCCGGAGAAGGGGCGTTTGACAATAATTATATATGCGACGGCTGACTGCGCGATTCCCGCGAGCTAGCTGTGATATTCACAGTTGGTGAGAGTCGAACGGAATCAAGCGCGTGCACGCGTTCATTCGAGAGGAGGAAGAGGAAGCTCCGAATGGTAAATACACACGGGAGAGTCGGTGGGTAAATAACGAGTCTGTAGGCAATATTAAAAACTCGCGATATCTGTGTATTACGGGTGATCGAGCTTCTTCCGTCGCTTGGAAGCGCTCTGGCGACCGGCCGATCGGAAAATTGGTCAATTAGCTCCTTCAGCTAGGTACTTTTTGCTGCTTTTGTTCACTTGTACCATTGCGCGATGTTTGATAAGAGCTCGCTTTTTTTCTTTTTTTTTTACTTTTGTATACAAAAAGCCAACACCAGCCCGGGCGAGCCACGAGACTCAATAATTGGCCCGAGTGTAGATCTCATTTGCAAGGTCTCGGTGTGTATATATATGCACACGTTCCGTGCGAGTAAATCGATACATGGAAAATCCTGTGGCTCCTGCTTTCCATTATCTTCGTCGCGCATTTTTCCCGAGCATCGTCGTCGACTACAGTAGTGTCTCTCTGGCTGTAGTGGTTGTAGCCCGCGCTCCGGAGACAATATCCGGCTCCTGTCTCTCTTCCTCCCCCCCCCCGGCGTCATCGAGCCCCTTCATTCGGGCGAGGAAAAGTTTTTTCCTTGAGCTTTCTTTTTCCCCTCCGGTGTGTCTTTTCTGAAAGCTCCCGGCAGTTCTTTCATATTTATGGGCGCGTGATGGATGTGTGGACGGCGAGCCCCAGTATACCGGTGCACATGTACGGGTATACTGAGCCGATCGAGGTTGTTCCGACTTTTATTTTTATACATTTTTTTTAATGCTTATTGTAACAATTAAAAATAGAAATTCAATTTGATCTAATGGTCGAGAACAAAGAGGCAACTTGTTTTGTAACTATAGGGCACCACGTCATCTAAAATAATAAAAACTAAAATATATATTGTCAGTTTAGAAAGCCAAATGAAATTTGAGAGGGATCGACCGAGCTTGCACTACCTTTTTCTGGTTGGTACACAGGTAAAGTAAAAGCTCGGCAGAAAAGGAACAGGTAGCCGGTGACAAGTCGTCGGTGGCGATAATTGGATCAGAGGAAAGGGGCCGAGTTTCTCTTTGGAGAAATCGAGAAAGGGCTGCACCAACACCGGCGCTTGGTCACCGGTGGCTTATTAATCTCCCGGGAGTGATGCGGCCTTTTCGTTTTCGCTCCAACTACACCGCTCGGTCACGAGCTATTTTCTCTCCCAGGAGGAGTGACCGACTCTCCTCTGCGACTTGGGAGATGATACTTTTGGCATTGATGCATCTACATAACTACTTTTATGCCTTTTGATGCCTCGCTTTTCCATGTGCTTATGCAGGGATCAAAGTCCATGAATTTCCAGGTTTTTTTCGTTTTAAAGCTTTGCTTTGATTGCTGTGAACCTTTGTACCAGCTTAATCTCTACCATAAATTTGTTAGGATGCGAGACTGGCACTCTACCACGTGAACTAAAAATACATTATTGAATGAATAATGTATCTTATAAAAAAAATGTACACCTCCCAAACACAAAAAAAACGGAAAGAAGGTATAAGTCACGAACATGCTCTACTTCCTCCTTTCGTTCTATCAGCCTCAGTGCTGCGCATTTTGGGAGAATATTGATTTTCCCAGTGTTGATTTAATTAAATATCTCATGTCAAATAAAGGCGACCAAGTTCGCGGTCGTTCTCAAGGATATGACGACGTCGTGGAGCTAAGAAAGGAGAAGGAAGAGCTGCACAAGAGCAGCGAAAGGAGGAAAGGGAGAGCAAGCGAGCGCTTGGAATTTCCATTTTCCGAATTTTCCGAGTGGTCACTTGACCTCTGTAGCTCACCAGCGACGACGGCTCCTACCCGGTCCATAAAACTTCTTCTCTGTTCGTATCTCTTGTTCGAACTCGGAAAAGTCTTAATTTTTTTTTTATCTCCGATATCTTGTTTTAGAAAAATTTTCCAACCCTTATCGGTATTTTTGCGAGGCAAAAATCAAAAGTTGGACGTTTAATAAATAAATACCCTCACTGTTGCTTGCTCAGCTCGGACTTTGGTAGAAACTGTGGACGAGCAAGAGAAACGTGTCCACGCGGTAATACCTCCAGAAGGAGGAATGTACTACTTTCACTGTGGCCGTCCGCAGGGATCGACCGCACAAAGAGAGAGGGAATGGAGAAGTCTTGAGTTCAAACCGCTGCGGATGTCCGCTCGGCTGTTGGACGAGTCCGGAGCGCAATTGAAAGAATGTCCGCCACCACTGCAAATGAAATTGTCTGCGCTCGTTCGGGTGTCTCTTCTGGGATTTCTTCTTCTTATTTTTTTTGAAGAAAATACCGAGAGACAATCGGAAAAAAGGAGTTACGAGTGTAAGCAAAGATGTTCACAGAATGATGTTTGGGGCTGAAATGAATTGAGATTCACGTATGAGAGAACGTTGAGGGTACTACTTACTAGGGTAAGATTAATCAAGCATTTTCAAAATTGCTGGAAAGGCAGTAGATGATTTAAGGCGCACTTTGTCGTGTACGTAGAGGATAAGCAGAGGATAAGAAGAAGAAAACGGAGGGGGTGCACGGAGGAATATAAAAAATAAAAGGGGGTGGAGGGGTCCCATGATTTACGCTAATTTCTCTCGCTCATCCTTACCCGTGTACCGCCGACTTTCCACCTCCTATTTTATAAAAGCCAACGGAGGAAGTCATAAATCGGCGTCCGGAAGACTTCCGGTCAGCCATCGCCGTCGTAACCCAAGGCGCCCTTCTCTCAGGGGTGAGAAAGAAGAGGAAGCAACTAACCCTCCTTTTTTTCGTCCAC